TTATAAATTGTTAACGTATATTTTACAACGAAATCAAAGAAAGAGAAAGAGAAGTAATTCAATACTGTTTAATGTATTCTATTTTGATTGCCTTTTCGTTCGTTGCTTCGATTTCGATAACGAAAACACGTTCGTACAGTTATATCCCCAAATACCATATGATCGCTACTTACTTTCTCTGCCCATCTTCTTTTTTCTTCTTTTTTCTTCTTTCTTTATTTCTTTTTTTTTTCTCTTTTGTTTTTGTTTCTATTAAATTTTTTTATATGGTCGAACATCCATCGATCATCTTTCATTTTTAACGAGTCTAAAATTCAAGAATCCTGAAGAATTTTATTTTTTTTTCTTTTTTTTTTTTTTTTTTTTTTCTGCCAAATAAATGTAAACGTCTCTTTTGGAAATATACTCTTCTCGAAGATTCGAAGGTCGACAAATATCTGCTTATAAATAATATATTATTCACTATAAAAGAGTAAAATCGTATATGATTTAGTAATGAACGAATTTCTTTATTATAGCTATTCACGAATTATTTTTTCTTGATTAATATATAAAAAGATAAAGAAGTAACGATGATGAGACAGAAATAATAATTGATGCGAGACCATGAACCCCGCAGCGGTACGGTACGATACGGTATAGTTCGATGCGGTGCGGTGCGGTGCGGTGCGGAGAGCATCAGGTACAGAAAGCGTCTAAGAAACCTGTTTGGAGACAGCCAATGTCTTACGAGGCCTTTTCTCTTTCTTGTTGCTTTTCACGACACACGCACGTTGATGCATTCCTACGTACGTACAAACAGTTCCTTCCGAATACTCACCATCAGCTATTCTCTATCAGCATTTATTCTTTTCTTCCTTTTTCTTTTCTTTCTCTTTTTCCTCCTCTTTTCCCGTTCCTCGTTTTATGCGCGCAATGGTATGCGAAATTCTTCGGTTAAATATGAGATAGCTTACTATCTTCTTATTTTTCTTTTTTTCTTTTTTTTTATTTTTTTATTTTTTTTTGTGAAAACATCAATCATGAATTTTATGTACATTAATTGATTTTATAATAAATAAATTTTATAAAAAAACAAGAACGATTAGTTTGATCTAAAATTTGTTCAATCAATTAGGATGACAATTAGTCGATAGTAATAATTTTAGACGACTGCGAGAGAAAGAGAGAGAGAGAGAGAGAGAGAGAAAGAGAGAGAGAGAGAAAGAGAGAGAGAGAGAGAGAGAGAGGGAGAGAGAGGGAGAAAGAGAGAGATGATCAGATTTAGAAATGCGTTTTCGTTTATAATTCTATTATCGTAGGAACAATGCCGGAGGAGAATAGCCGAGTGCACGATGAATGACGATAAAAGTGCACCGGTATGTGGAAGCGACGGTGTCACGTATCCTAGTCAGTGTCAGGTCATTTCGAAGCAGTGCCAGGGTGTATCTATCCTAATTAAACACACCGGACCCTGTCCAGGTTCGTATAACATTGAAAATATTAGTTAGTTATACTTTTACACGATCATAGTTAAATATAGAGAAAACTACGAGGGATGATAAGAAGCGATCGGACGAATTTGCGTGATCGTGTGTACTCTGGATTTTTTCGTAAAAAGCTTTACGAAAACAGGTATTTCGATTTATTCTTCTCCAAATCGACAAGATGAATCTTTATAAAATTATCAATGGTCATACGTCAAATCCTTTTTATTTTATTACCTTTTTTTCTTTTTATTTCCTTTTTCTTTCTTTTTTTTTCTTTTTTCTTTTTTTCTTTTTCTTTTTCATTTTTTATTCTTTCATTTGACACTTCAGTTAAATAAACTCATGGAAAGGTAGCAACACAGTATTAACATTGCTTGAGGCACGATCATATTATTAATTCTCTTTTAAAAGAATAATAAGCTAAGTTAATAATTAACACATTGATATATGTTTTAATCGTTTAATAGAGGAAGATGGTATTAATCGCAAACTCTTCCGCGAATATATATATATATATATATTTGAATAAAAAACTTCAACGAATTTGTTTAGAAATGCCGCCATGCTTTTCGGCGAGACTGTCGTCACGAGTGGGATCACGACCGGTTTGCCGGCCAGATGGTACGTATGCGCCGGTGCAATGCCACATGGAGACCGGGTTTTGCTGGTGCGTAACATTGCAAGGACGTCCACTGCCGGATACCTCGGTGAGGCACCAAAGACCGAGATGCGATAAACTTGCTTCCAGATCAGCCGTTGCTACTAAGAGTGGACAGAGAAGACGTTCCTCTAATTGGAAGGAACGAAGACAATATAGCAGTAGACATCGAAATACATGTGATCGTCTTGAAAAATCCAAGTTTAATAATAATCTCATAGAGAATTTTAGGATCGAATATAAACGAGCAAATATATCAGTGACTGGTAAGTCAATAATTTTATTTGATTCATTAATTTGGTGTTTTTTTTTTTTTTTTTCTTTTTATTTATTTTTGTTTTTTGTTTTTTTTTTGTTTTTGTTCTTTTTTGTT